TTTCCCTGCCATGATTTTGTACGTTTCCTGCTACATCTCATTTGCACATACGTTCATAGGTGGCAGAGTAGTGAAAATAATTTTGTCTTGTACGTTTTCTGCTTCTTAACTCGGGCACATGTGTTACTCAGTTTAAGACTGATGGGTAATTCTTACGTAGCGTATGGCGCAAGGCCTGGCATTCCCATGTTCATCTCCCTTCAGTGTGGTATTTCTGGTGTTCTTGTCTTCAGGTTCCCTACTTCACGCACTACATGATCACCATCGTGAACAACTGCTTGCAGTTTGTGGAGTTGGCACAGCTGATGAAGCAGCATTACTGGCGACCAGGCCTGCATGACAATGAGGCTGGCACCAAGTTTGAGGCCCTGCTCAACACTTTCCAGGTCAGTAAGAGGTCAACAAGTTGTTTGATGGAGGAAATGCTGATAAAAAATCTTAGGTTTTCATTTGAAGATGACTCTTCTGGGATTTAGCACCATGCAGTCACTCATCAGCTGATTATTCAGACGGTGAGCGCCTCGGAAATGTCTGTTCCTACCAGCCTACGTGGCATTACACCCCAGAAGACAGTCTTCTTCAGAACATCTATTGTCAATGATGACTGTTTCCTGATACTTTGTTTGATGTGATGGTTTGTATGGTTAACCAGTGCGTTTCCATCAACTTTCTTGGTTCAATCACAGCGCTGTGTGTGAATTAGGCATTGTATGAGGGATGCAAGTCATTAGGGGAGGATGTGACCAATGCCTGTGTTGAGCTAGTCCACAGGCGTCTGCCTGACGGGACAAAAGAAAGCTATGAAACCTCAGTTATGATTGCCAGCTGTGATTTGAACTGAGAATCTCCCAGATATGAAGTGGGAAAGTGAAATGTTACTGTAATTAAAATATAACTCCAAAATATAACTGAGCGTTCTCTTGCAGCAACTGCGAGACGAGGCAGCTCAGTTCCTTCTAGAAGAGGCGTTTCTTGACCTGGAGCCACAGTTCCAGGATCTGATCGCAAGCAAGTGGGTAACGAGCAGCATCCCCGTTGATACGATCTGTGTCACCCTGGAAGACTACTTCCAGGATTACATCCATCTCCGCATCCGCAACTTTGACTACGTCATCTCTGAAGCTCAGAACTTGGTCGCGAAACGTTACATATCCGCCATGCTCCAGAAGAAGATATCGTTCAAGACGTACGAAGAACGGCGGG